GGTCTCAAACCCGCGGGCTCAGGCAATCCACTCACCTCAGCCTCCCAAAGTGCTGGGATTACAGGCTGAGCCACCGAGCCCGGCTGTATTTAACACTTTTGAATCTCTTGGTCTTAAGTCCATTTTCATTAAACACCTCATAATTCTGCTGGCTATTTAATGATCTGCCTTCCTACTCACTGATCAAGTCCCTGAGAGGGGACCCTGTCTGTCTTGTTCAGCACATTTATATTATCAACTCTTCACACACAGTAGGCACTCAATAAATGCTTGGTGGCTATGTAAGAAGAACCCTTTCAAATGTGAATCTCACCTTCTAAATCATCTGCTTACAATCTCCAGGCTAGTGTAAGAAAGGATTAGTTTTTGCTAATGGGCTATAAGTGTGTGTATTTTTGTGGTCTGGGGGCAGCCTGGAGGACCCAGCCTCACCTGTCATCCCAGAGACAGTGGAATCCATTTAGCTGCTCATCCAGCACCAAGCCAGTGCCAGCCAATGCCTTGGCCTCAAGGTTCAGATCCTGCAAGGGAAAAAAGGGAGATAGATTTAGGACCTTAGTAAAACAGAACATCCTAAATTGTCCAGGGTGGGGGAACCTCTGGGTTTTGATTGCCACAGGAGGTTATCTCACGGCCAGGGTCCTCTCACCATCCCTTGCAGCGCCACGATGAGGTTTTCTTCAGTTGTTTGGCCGAGTTTCTTCATTTTGCCTTTCTTCTTTACCTCTGCTAGATTGGGGCTGGAGCGGGGCACGGCACCCTTTTTAATGCTTCGCTTCTGCCAATCAGAGAGAAGGGTCAGAGTCAAGGGCATGACCGGCTTGTTTTCCCTCCTCCTCATCAGGACAGGTCCAGGGCCTCACCGAGGTGACACTGGAGACATGAGGGGGCGACTGGGGGTTGTTATTCCTATTCCTTCGCTGTCTGGTTGTGATGGAATCCTGACCAGTGGAAGTCATAGTTGAGGAGACTTCGTCGCTGATGCGGTTCTGGGAGGGGTGGGGGTGACTGTGAGGGGGCTGGTGTGCCCTGAGGACCCCACTTCCCTGCCCCTTTCCAGGCCCCGCCCCCTCTACTAGACGCTATCCTATTTCCCACTATTATACTCCGCCTCTCTCAAGGCCGTCTCCGAGACTCCACTCAGGTGTCCACTCCACCTGATCCCGCCCCGTCCGGCCCACTGGACCCCACCCCTTTTCCATGATTCTTTCCCCCGTCTTGCCCCTTTCACTGAGCAATTAGCCCCGAGGCTCACTCAGTCCGTTCAGGGGCCTGCCCTTTCCAGCCAAGCACCGCCCCTTTCACTCTACCGAACCCCATCCCCATAGCCTTTCATTCCTCTAAGCCTCGCCCAGACCCCATCCCTTCACAAAACTGCCTTTTCCAGGCCATCGCTTAGGATAATCGCCCACCGTTTCGCTCGGCCAGCCCCAGCCCAGCCTTAATTCCACCCCTTATCGGATCGGACCGGTACCTTCCACTCCGTCAGATCCCGCCCCTCACGTTTCAACAAGCCCGGCTCCTCAGGGGACTGCCCCTTTCCTTCCACCAGACCCCACCCCCTGCCCAGACCCTACCCCTAACGCTTCGCCAAGTCCCTCAGCCAGTCGCGAGCCGCCTTCCGTCAGCCTCCGCCCCCTCCCCGCCTCCGCCGTCGACGCGGCCAATCCCCTTGGCTCCACTCACGGAGCGCAGTCTCTTTCTCAAACTCCGCCTTTGGCTCCCGCCGCCAAATTCCTGACGACCTGTGAGGCCGTGGGTGCCAGAACCTCTTTTTTCCATTGGGCCAGGTCTCTCTGCTGCCCGCCCAGATCCCGCCCACAGCAGGCGCGTCCCACCGCGGGCCGCACCTCTCGCGAGCTCACAGGCGGCGGGCCGGCGAATGCGGACGCGACGCGTGCCGCACTGCGCCTGCGTGAAGCGGTCGCCGGCGGTTCAAGTCCGGGCTCCGGCTCAAGATCCTTTGCCTCGGCTATCGCCGCTGGCGTCCTGACTGCCATAGTCGCCGTCCTTCCGTCCCCGTCCAGTCACCTTAGGAACCCTCCGGACCTGCGCCAACTGTGCTGTGCGGTGTCTTGAGAACAAGCAAGGAAGCAAGGGAGCTAGGAAGGGTCGTCTTCTCTCCCCCGCGGCTTCCCGCGTGGCGCGCCGTGATGACGTAGAGCAGGCGGGCTGGTGGTTGGGCCCAGAGCAAGGTTGGCACTGGACGACGGCTGGTGGCAGCCAAAATGGGAGTGGTGATGTTGCTAAAAATTGAGAAGGTTTTTGGAGTTCATATTCATTATGACTCTAGACAGGAAGCACTCGCTGAATGTTAGCTATTCTGCCGTGAAAATGAGTGATGAGGTAGAAGGAATCTTAGTGCAAGCAAGTAGTGGTAATGATAGCAGATATTATTGTGACAGGCGTTGCTATAAGCCACAATTCTATGAGGTAGTTCCCGTTATTAAGTCTGCTCTAAAGATAAGGAAACTAACTGAGTTTACGGGACTTAGCCATGTGACCTTGGGCAAGTTACTGAACAGCTCTGTGCTCAGTTTCCTCATCTGGAAAATTGTGATAATAATAGTACCCAGGGCCAGAATGGACTTGGGGAGGCGAGTTTCTTATGGGTGGCAGCTCTTCCTATCTGCCCCCTCCACAGGGTAACCACTGCTCCTTAGCTGTATGGAAAGTATGTGTGCCCCTGGGGGGTTGGGGGAGCTATCCCTGTTCCCGCCCCGCCTTGCAACTCCCACCCCGTGTCTAAATGTCTAAATATCTGCCCCGCAGGAGGCCGGTTTGTCCTCCTAATCTTCCTCTCTCATTCGCCACCATTTCCTACTGGGCTGTAGGCTGGGGCTAGAGAGATAAGGGGTCTAGGGTTCAGCATCGCAGACTGACAAACAGATTGACAGTCCCACGGCCTAGTAGCTGTGCCTTCTGATCGCCAGTTCCTACCTCTTTTTCCTTTCCGCTCTTCTACCTGAACATGTCTTTTGTCTCAGCGCAAGAGTATCACAGACCTAACACCTTTAAGCCTTTACACTCTCCAAAGAAAATATACAATGATAAACAGTGAAGAAAATTCTAAGATTGTGATGCCTGCAAAGTAATAGAGTAGGGAGTCTTATAAAGGGCCAAGGCCCATTTTTCTGAAGTCATGAGAGGTTCCTGTAGAGCAGGGGTCAGCAAACGTCCACTTTAAAGGGACAGATAGTAAATATTTTAGGCTTTACAGGTCACACATATGATCTCTGTGGCATATTCTTTTTTCTTGTTTTTAAAAAACTGACCCTTTAAAAATGTAAAAACAGCCTGCAGTCTGGCTTTGGTCCAAAAGCCATAGTTTGCCAATCCCTGCTGTAGAGGGTAAGTCCTTGGTTTCCTTTATCTGCTTAGAATTTTTTTACAGGATGAGGACAGGGGTTCTCTTTTTCCTGAGGAGAAGTATTCCTTTTGTGTGAGGTGTGAGAACAGGGTCAGGTACCTTCTGGTGTTCCTCTAAGATCAAGCAGATGTTCCTGGACAGAGTGAGAGCAGGGATTCCAGGAATTTCTATACTGTTGTTCTGAGTCAGGCAGAGGTTTATACAGGACAAGACAGTAAATTCTAGAGAGTTCCAGACTATGGGTTCCTGTACAAGTTCAGAATGGGGCTTCTTAGACTGCATTATGACAGTTTCCTACAAAGAGAGCAGGTGGTCCAGTACTGAGCTAACACAGATATATTTCTGTGTAAGTTCAGAGCTTGTGTTCATATCCATAGTAAAATCAGGTGTTTATGTCCAGATTCAGGCCAAGAGATTCTTATTAATGAGGCTATATTATGCTAGCTGCTATAATAAACCCGAGAATTTCAGGGGCTTAACAAATACATGTTTATTTCTTACTCATACAAAATCCAATCTGAGTATTTACTGATCATTCATGGACCCAGGCAACTTCCATTTTGTGACTGCTCTCCTCTAGGTCCTTGAAGTTATGACTCTTCAGTTGGCAGATGGAGAAGGAGAGAGAGTGGAGGATTGCATGAGAGGTTTTTATGGACCAGGCCAGGAAGTGGTATATGTCACCTTTGCCCATATTACATTGATCAAAACTCTGTTCACATGCCAACATCTAACTTCAAGGGAGGTTGAAAAAGAGAGTGAGCTCAAGAAGAAAGAACAGTTTCGATAAGCCTATAGCAGTGTCTGCTACAGGATTCTGTAGACTTCACAGAGCTATGCTGTCCAATCCACATGTGGCTACTGCCCTTGAAATGTAGCTAGTTCAACTTGAAATGTGCTGTAAATGTAAAATACACACCAGACCTCAAAAACTTAGTATAAAAAGTTTAAAATCATTGTTGTGCAGGGTGACATCAGGGGTCATTGTATGTATTAGGTAAAGTATTATATTAATATGTTAATCAAACTAATTTCATTGCTTTCTCTTTTTAAGAGACAGGGACTTGCTTTGTCACCTAGACTGGAGTACAGTGGCACGATCATAGTTTACTGCAGCCTCAAACCCCTGGGATCAAGTGATCCTCATCCTCCTGCCTTAGCCTTCTAAATAGCTAGGATTATAGGTGTGTGCCACCACACATCTGGCTAATTTTTTAATTTTTTTGTAGAGAAGGTATTTCATTGTGTTGTCAAGGCTGATCTTGAATTTCTGACCTCTAATTATTCTCCTGCCTCAGTCTTTGTCTCTTTTTAATGTGGCTACATGAAAGTTTTAAATTACACATGTGACTCTCATATTTCTGTTGGGCAGCATTGCCATAGAACATTTTCTTTTTCTTTTTTTTGAGTTGGAGTCTCACTGTCACCCAGACTGGAGTGCAATGGCCGCTCCCGGCCACCACACCCTCAACCTGCTGGGCTCCGGCGATCCTTCCACCTCAGCCTTCCAAGTAGCTGGAACTACAGGTGCATGCTACCATGCCCGGTTGATTTTTTTTTTTAATTTATTGTAAAGATGAGGTCTCGCCTGCCCAGGCGGGTCTCGAACCCGCGGGCTCAGGCAATCCACTCACCTCAGCCTCCCAAGGGCGTCGGATTACAGGCTGAGCCACCGAGCCCGGCTCTTTTTTTTTTTTTTTTTTTGAGTTGGAGTCTCACTCTGTCACCCAGACTGGAGTGCAGTGGCACATTCAACAGCCACCACAGCCTTGACCTGCTGGCTCAAGCGGTCCTTCTGCCTCAGCCTTCCAAGTAGCTGGAACCACACCTGGTTAAGTTTTTTGACTTATTGTAGAGACAAGGTCTCATCAAGTTGCCCAGGCTGGTCTCGAACCCGTGGGCTCAGGCAGTCCTCTCACCTCTGCCTCTCAAAGTGTTGGGGTTACAGGCATGAGCCACCATGCCAGGTGAAAATTTTCTTTACAGCATTAGAATAGGTATTCTTTTATTGTGTGGGCATAGGGGTTTCTCTGTAGAGTCAGGTTAGTGTTTCCGTCTGGGGTTAGGAGAATGAGGAAGCAGTTTTGTAGGAAAATACGAGGGCTGGAGACACTGTAAAGTGAAAGAGAAGGACGTGAACGCCTTTTTTCCTTGTACTGATTAAGGTTAGATGTTCCTTTTGAGGCCAGAAGAGTGGTTTTCTGTAGATGGTCAGGCCAGAGGATCACAAGATACTCAGGCCAGGTATTTCTGCGTAAGATTATAGCTAGGTTCTTGGAGACAGGCAGATTGAGTAGTCCCGTTGAGGATTAGGCCAGGGGTTCTTGTATAAGTTCTAGACAGGTGTTCTTGGTGATTAAGATTACAGATGGTTTAACAAATTCAGAACAGAAGTTCCTCTACAGTGTCAGTGTTTTTACATTAGTTCATTCCTTGGATTCCTCTAAGGAGGCAAATCAGAGGCCGGGCTCGGTGGCTCAGCCTGTAATCCCAGCACTTTGGGAGGCCGAGGCAATTGGATTGCCTGAGCCTGCAGGTTCGAGACCAGCCCGAGCAACTTAGCAATACATTGTCTCTACAATAAATAAAAAATTAGCTAGACGTGGTAGCGCATGCCTGTAGTTCCAGTTACTTGGAAGACTGAGACAGAAGAATCACTGGAGCCCAGCAGGTCAATGCTGGGGTGGCTCTGAATGTGCTACTGCACTCCAGCCTGGGTGACAGAGTGAGACTCCAACTCAAAAAAAAAAAAAGCAAATTTCTGTACCAGCTCAGTGCACAGATTCCTGCTGGGAGTCATAGGGGTAGTCCTGTGCAGGGTCAGAACAAAGATCCTGTGTAGAGTTAAGACATCGGTTCCTTCAGAGATTCAGGTTACTGTTTCGTCTGTTGGGTCAGGGCAGTTGTTCCTGTATAGAGTGAGTGTGGGGCTTCTAGGACAAGGCTAGGGCAAAGGCTATTTTATAGAATCACATTAGGCTTCCCTATTCAGGGTCAGCAGAGTGTTTCCAGAGAGTAAAGTTAGGATTTCCTATAAAGGACCAGATCAGAGGTTCTGGTAGGTGAGTAAATTGAAGGATTTCGATTCAGGTTCAGGAAAAAGATTTATATAGAGTCTGGTTAGATGTTCTGGTACAATTATAAGGCCAGGCTTTCTGTAGAGGGTCAGGACAGTGTAGCTCATGCAAGGTAAGGATGGGAGCCTTGTGCAGCATCAGCAAATGGCACCCATACAAATGGCACCCTCACCTA